TGGGGAGATCTTCATCACTCTTGCCAGCGCTGGCTGAGATGCAGCATCCCTGAGCAAGGCGGCCACTCAGCCAAGGCGTGAAACCGCCTGGACTGGAGAGATCACAGCTAGGACCACTTCGTTCCTGGAGCACTGTCAGTGAAGCTGGAGAGAGGAGGAGAAGGGGAGAATAGATCAGTTTGCTCCGGAGCCTGTGATTCTGCTCACCGGGGTGTTGATCAGCCCCTGCTGCGCGGTGGGGGAGCGGTGGGGCTGTGGACAGAGCGGGAGGCTTTCAGTTCTGATTGCACGAAGGAACTTTGGTTGGACAACACTGAGCAGGGCTCCAGCTGGCATCTTCCTTAGCCATCCTAACCCTTCCTCCTCCCCGCGCTTCGTCCGACAGGTAAGGGGTCTCTTTCTGATCTTGGCAGGTTCGCTAGGAGAGAGCTGCTTTCACGAGAGCACGCCCAGGGAGATGATATGCATGTGCTTAACAGCACAAGGGCAGCCGAGCAAAGCTTCGCCCGCAAACTCAGTGATGAGGGGAGCAAAGGGACTGGAAGTTTTCTTGCTGGTGCGTGAAGTTCCTTTTAAAACCCTCCTACAGCTGCCTTTGAAATCCAGACACGAAATACATGGATATATCCAATGAAGCAAACTATCTGCTTCACTGTACAGCCTAGCTGTTATTTTGTACTGTGGTGGCCTTTGAGCTCATCTTTAGCTGCAAGGAAGCACGCACGATCTTACCGTTTTCATTCAGAAGATTTACACCGGAGCACTTGAAATACACATCTGCTCACAGCCCTTCATGGTACATATTTCTGTGCAGACGCACACACGCACACACATGCACACACGCTCTGAAACCTGTCTGAAGTAGAGACAGGCGCACTATTCAAACTGAACAATTGATGTTGTTGAATGTTATTAAAGTCATCAAAGAAATTATCCAACAACTAACCAGCTCCATGATTAGCCCGTCCCTCCTAGGATAAAACACCCGGTAGACGAACAGGTAAGTGACTAAAGAAATGTGGCTCTTAATTTATAGGTGAAGCAGAATGGCCCCAGACTGTGAGCGTTTGGGAAGCTTTAAGGTGGCTGCGTAAGACAAGGAGTTGTTGCCTGGAAAGGAGACGAGTGTCCAGAGAAAGCATCCTCAAATGTTCCTGCTCACAAGGGACACGAGAGAAATGGAAGCTGGCTGTTAAAGGCGAGCCGTGAAGAAAAGGATCTCTGCCGGGCGTGCGGCTAAACGGTACGTACTGATTTATTACGCACAGTTCAGCTGGAATTCCTAGACGATAAAGGGAATGATGTGATGTGCAGAATTACTCAGTTCGGTAAATGTACCGGTGTCCTTAGGGAACGTTTCCATATGTATAGCTAGATGCGTGTACGTCAAATCTCTGCCTCTCGCACATGAATATAGTACACATCACAAAGTCACACATCCCTCATTCACACACACACGTCACGTCACACAACACACATGACACCTGTCAGGCGCGAAACACCCAGCCCCACACATTACTCAAAACAGTCACACAGCACCCATATGACACATACCAGCCACACAATGCTCATCCATGCACACATTTCACATCCCAGTCACACAACAACACATATTACATACACACACATACAAAAGTCACACACACACACTCTCACAATCTTAGTTTCAAAGGTTTTACCTTGCCTGGACCTATGTATTTCTCCCTCTGCTATTATTTATCTATTTATCTCTGCAAAGTCTTCAGCTATTGTGTGTATAAAATGCTCAACTTTCTTTTGCATCACATTGTATAATTATGCCCATAGAGATGGAGTAAATGTAGGCAAAGTCCATTGTATGCATTGCCGATTGTTTCACTTACATTTAGATTTCTTCTCCAGATCCGGGGGGGCGGGTGGGGGATAGTATCTGTAATTTTCTTTTCGACACACACGAGTGAGCATTATTTCTTCTTTTGTCTTCAAACCCTTTTATCATCAGTGCATTCATCAACGCAGCGGCAAGCTGGCAACTTTTCAAGAGATAATGATGAGTTAACAAGGTCTTTTTTTTCCTTAAACGAGTCAGTAAAAATGAAGCCCAACGAAGCATCTTATTTACTAAATAAACTCATCCCGCTTCAGATTTGCGCTGAGATCTTTGCTGAATCCATCTCTGCGGGGATTAAATGCCTAGGTCTTTGGAACGGCATCTAGTGAGCGCTCCTTTTGGAACTCGGGGTCAGATCTGGACAAAGTACAGTTACGAACACGAGCAGGGGTCTTTTCATTTTAAAACCAGTGAGAGAGGCGATGCAGGCCAAAGATGCCCTATGTATTCCCTTCCCCTTTCGTGCTCTGATCAACAGCTGCTTTTCCAATTAATATGATCTATAGACTGGACTCTGGCCGTGCCGCATACAAATTCTGCCTTCTGGTCTTTTTCCAAGCACTGCCAATATCCTTTCCCTCCTCAAAGGAGGTGTCTCTCCTCCTGGGCAAAGGAATTGAAAGATTCCTATGATGAAGTTGAGAAGATTAGAGAGACTCCTTCTCTTTCAGAACTGAATCATATTAGTGACTCCGTTTTCCCCCTTCCCAAGGAGTGAGATCTCAGTAGGTACAAGGAATCCAAGAGTCTCTCGGCTCCCTTTGGGTTCAGGACCCAAGGCAAATGAGAGCCACCCAATGAATTTGTTTTCCAAGCTTCAGGGGAAAAGCTCATGGGTACCAGGCCAGATTCTGTACCCACTGCATCCCCTTTGTGCTGCCCCATTGGTGCAAAGGGGACAGAAAGCTGCCCTGGCAAAGGAGCTGGGGATGCCCCAGGTGGTGTATAGCCAGTGTAACTCCAATAATCTTAGCTGGTGAAATGGCCATCTCGGAGGTGTGTACCTAGAGCAGCCCCAAGACTGCTCTAATTTGCGCTGGGGAGTGAATATGGCCCTGCCTGTCACCCAGATCAGAGGAGGCTGGACGGAGCTAGAAAGCCAGCTACACCATCCCACCTCGGTCCTGTTCCAGCTGAAGGTCTGGCCCATCTGCTCCAAATGCACCAGCCGGGGTCATTACTCAGGCTAACCTTCCACAGGTTTCAGTGGGTGTTCTGTCTGACAAAGTGCTTTGGGATGGGGCCCACTGGCAGAATCCAGACACACACACCTCCCGCTCGGCTCCATCTTACTTCCCTCAGGTTTTTCAAAACAGGGGTGTTAGCTCTGGTTATTTCTAGGAAACGTACTTTGCATGTACGTAGCCCTTTTCAGCTGCTCTCAAAGGCTCTAGCAGATTTATAGCACCTTACAAATGGGGAAACTGAGGCACCAAGCGGTCAAGCAGCTCATGATTGCACAGGGAACCAGTGGCACAGATGGTATTTGAGCCCAGGTCTTCCAACACCCAGCCCTGTGTTCTAGCCATTAGACCACGCTGCCCCATCAGCCTCCCTCCTGCCCCCCCCCCCACCTACTCAAGCTCACACCACTGGAGGCACATGCAGCCAATAAGCAACAATCGGAGCTGGGTAGTGCAATCTTAGGATACGAAACCCTTTCCCACCCTGCTGGAACTGACTTTTCCCTGCTCTGAAGGGCCGGGCAAGGCAGGTTGTAGTGACTGGGATTTCGCTGGCTGTCATTGGTCTGACATCTCCCGTGACGCAGCACGCTCTGCTTGGAAACAAAGGGCAGTCCCCTCTGCACGGCCCCCAGCCCTGGCCCTCCTGAGGGCAGCCACATTGCCGGTCATCTCCTGCCTCCGTGCCCAGAAGGGGAAACGCCTCGTGTGTTCTCCCCTCTCCCCGCAGACACTGAGCTGAGGGGTCAGCCTGGGCCTGGCTTCAGCTGGACGGGATGCTCAGAACTGGGGAACTGCTGCACAGGGTTTTCCCCAGGGCCGGCCAGAGATGTTAACAGCAACGGCTGCTCTGCAGTAGGGACGGCAGCAGTTTAATGGGCAGCAGGTTGAAAACAAACAAAAGGAAGTGTCAACCTGTGGAACTCCTTGCCAGAGGATGTTGTGAAGGCCAAGATTATAACAGAGTTCAAAAGAGAACTAGATAAGTTCATGGAGGATAGGTCCATCAATGGCTATTAGCCAGGATGGGCAGGAATGGTGTCCCTAGCCTCTGTTTGTCAGACGCTGGGAATGGGCGACAGGGGATGGATCACTTGATGATTACCTGTTCTGTTCATTCCCTCTGAAGCACCTGGCATTGGCCACTGTCGGAAGACAGGACACTGGGCTAGATGGACCTTTGGTCTGACCCAGTGTGGCCGTTCTTATGTTCTTAATGTCCGGTGCTTCAGTGAGGCCTAGGGGTGTCTGTCTGTCCCGTGTCCCTTCTGTCTCTTAGCATTTCCAATGACTGCCTCCCTCCCCCCACTGCCATGAGATGCTCAGACGACTGCATCGCTGCCTGACTCATGGGCGATTCCTTGCAAAACTGCACCCACTGAGCGATTGCCCCTGGCGCCTGGCAGCTGCTTCTGGTCACGGGTGCTCTGTAAACACTTCAGTTGGATTTGTGCATACAGCAGCCTCAACCTCCTTCCCCCCGCGGCTCCCCGGGCTCCGCAGCCTGGAGCCCTGACAACCCCATGGGATCTGCAGCTTCCCCGGGCTACTGGGGTGTGAGGGGTCCCTCGGAGTGGAAGACCATCCACCGGGGTGTCCCCAGTCAGGGCTTCCGCACGTAGGCCGCCCGTATTGCCTAATAAGCCGTTGCATCCTCCGAGCCTCCCAGCCGAATGACGTGACGCTTGATGGGGTCCCTGAAGCACCAACGCCTTCTCCTGGACGTGGCGCTGCTAGAAAAATGGCAGCGCCAGCGGCTCTCGGCTCCCCGCTGCAGCCGCCCGGTCCTTGGCACTGCGTGGGGAGGAATTGGGAAGCTGCCGTCGCTGCCTTTGCCCGGATGAGCCCAGAGATTTTGCATCAAGGTCCTGGGTAAAGCAGTAAAAGGGCATAAGGGACGTAGGCACCTTGGTACTGTTTTACAGTATCTTGGTAAAGCCAAGATACTGGGCACTCGGGCCCAGCCCGTCAAAGGTGCCTAGGTGCCCATTTCCCAGGGAAATCACTGCCTGGGGCATGAACTGAGATGAGGAAGAAATCTCTACTGCGTACGGGCACAATCAGGGGGACCATCCTCCGAAGCACCTGGCATTAGAGATTGTCAGAGGCTGGGTAGGATAGACCCGTTGGTCTGCTCTGATGCAGAAACTCCCCTGCTCCAAAACATCTGAAATTATCGCATCACGTGCACACCGAAGGCTGCAATTCACCTCTCTCACCCTCCTGCAAAGTGGGTATTTTGCTTCCTGTAAGTTGCCGCACAGCTTGATAAATCAGGCAGGTGTGTGAGAGTCCACGGGGCCTGGAAACACTGGAAGGAACCTACAGATCTTCATTTGGTTTTGTGATCCTGCAACAACCCACCACTGTGGTACCATCAACAGGAATTGACTCCACGGCCTCTAACATAAGAACGGCCAGACTGGGTCAGACCAATGGTCCATCTAGCCCAGTGTCCTGTCTGCTGACAGTGGCCAATGCCAAGTGCTTCAGAGGGAATGAACAGAACAGGGCAATTATTAAATGATCCATCCCCATCATCCACTCCCAGCTTTTGGCAAACATAGGCTAGGGACACTCAGATCACGGTTTTACATCCCTGCCCGTGTTGGCTAATAGCCATTGATGGATCCATCCTCCATGAATTTATCTAGTTCTTTTTTGAATCCTGTTATAGTCTTGACCTTCCCAACATCCTCAGGCAAGGAGTTCCACAGCTCGACTGTGCGTTGTGTGAAGAAATACTTCCTTTTGTTTGTTTTAAACCTGCGGCCTATTAATTTCATTGGGTGACCCCTGGTTCTTGTGTTATGTGAAGGAGTAAATAACATTTCCTTTTTCACTTTCTCCAGACCAGTCAAGATTCTATAGACCTCTATCATATCCCCTCTTCATTGTCTCTTTTCCAAGCTGAAAAGTCCCAGTCTTTTTTATCTCTCCTCCTATGGAAGCTGCTCCATACCCTGAATCATATTAGTTGCCCTTTTCTGTACCTTTTCCTATATATATATATATTTGAGATGAGGCGACTAGCTCCGCACGCAGTATTCAAGATGTGGTTGTACCATGGATTTATACAGAGGCAATATGATATTTTCCGTCTTAGTACCTATCCCTCTCCTAATGATTCCCAACATTCTGTTTGCTTTTTTGACTGTCCCTACACATTGAGTGGATGTTTTCGGAGCACTATCCACAAGGACTCTTTAAGCGTGTGGACTCACCCCTGCAGCACCTCCTGCTGGTCTCTCAGGGAATTAGCTCCATTTCCAGCCCGGAGCGCCCTCTGCAGGCCGGTGATCCACCTCAGCTTGGCCCCCGTGTCCCTCCCAGACTCCGGTGCCCGTTTTCTCTGGGGTGCTGCCCCCTGGCAATACCCCAACAATCTCTGTGGGTCTCCCTTCCCCAGGGAACCCCCACCCATTACCCCCACCTCGCCTGTCTGGGCTACTGCCAGTCCTTACCTAGCCCCCGCTCCCTGGGGCAGACTGCAGTATAAAAGCCACTCATCACAGGCAAGGGGGTTTGACCTCCTACCTTCTTCCACCACCCAGTACCTCTATGGGCCTGGAACCAGGCCCTGCAGCCTGGGAAGTCGCCAGCCTAGAGCTCCCCTGCTCCTCTGGCCTTTCCCCAGCCCTGCTTATTCCCCTGCAGCCAGGCTGGTCGCCAGGGTTTTGGCCGCCCCAAGCGATCTGCGGCGGCAATTCGGCGGGAGGTCCTTCGCTCCGAGCGGGAGTGAGGGACCGTCCGCCGAACAGCTGGACGTGCCGCCCCTCTCCGGAGCGGCCGCCCCAAGCACCTGCTTGCCAGGCTGGTGCCTGGAGCCGGCCCTGCTGGTCTCCCTCCACAGCTAGAGGAGAGACTCTGCTCAGCTTCTGGGTGCCCTGATTGGGGCGTGGCCCAGCTGCAGCTCCT